CTTCCACCCAGGATTTGGAATACTGGAGTAATGACTCAAGAACAGATACAGTCACAGGAGCAATGGCAGTGGCAAGAGCACATGTTGAGCCAGCCCATAGTCCAGTGGTTAATAGGACCAGATCCCAAATGGCTGACCACGTTGTTTGGATCTTGGTCTCAATGGCTTGAAAACCATGCCAGGCGTAAGTATGTGTGTATGTGTGTGTGTGTTTGCACATGTGTCCAAAATCCAGATGGGATGAAGAAATGGAGGAGGAGGAATTACAGTGTGATGATGCCCCATGAGGTGTGCTTTCTCCCTCACCCCCTTCCTCTGGCCAGCACATGTGCCCTCTGACAATTGAAAAAAGGAATACAATGCTGACAGCTTTGAGTGGGGGTGCTAATATCTGTCCCTGTAGTGTGACTAAGTTGTGTTTTCAATTGTTAACCTCTGTTGGTTCCCATTTTGAGGTTGAGTCTCCAACTTTCCATATGAAATAGCCAATTTCCTCCCAATAAATTTATTTGTTCCTTAAGTCAAGAAGGTATATTACATTGTTCATGATGGATATATATGTTACAGAAGGTATGAGATATGAGAGAAATAAAGGGGAATCAAAGCACTAATTTCTTCCTTCTGTATACTAAGGACTCTAGATACAGTAAGTCATGATTCAAAAAGTAGAGTTGAAAATACATTACTTAAGTTATAAAATTAATGACTAGAAGAATGGCAAATCAATAAAATAAAACTGATCCAATTTAGCAGAGGGCATGGACTTGGGGTTAAAGGAGACAATCCTAAAACTTTAATGAATTAATTCAAAAGCTACAATTAAGGGACCAGCAGTTAGCGTAATGGCTATGGCGCTGGACTCCCATGTAGTCGACCACAGTTTGAGTCCCGGACCCGGTGGCTTAAACTCACACCGGGCCTGTGTGTGTGTGTGCATGCCCAAGATCCCAAGAGGAGAATGGAGGAGAAGGGATTGTGGTGTGGCCATGCCCCTGGAGGATGATTTCTTGCTTTCTGTCTCTCTGTCTCCCTCTGTCTTTCTGGTGAGCACACGCGCCCTATAGCAAAAACCTCTCGAAAAAAAAGTTTAAGAAAAGCTACAATTCAAAGTTTATAAACCAAGTAAGAGAAACAAAATCTTATTTTTCAGAGTTGAATAATAAATGAAGTAAATGAAGAGTAGTAGAAGAACTAAAACGAATGGTAAAATATGGTTATCAAATCAGCGAGACCTATAACAGGAGAAGAAAGACGGTGCTGTTCATTTTCTATCTGTCTGAATTATTTGCACCATTTTTAGCCATGCTCTTATGTCATCTTTTTAACATTTCAACTCTTCTCTGAGCTGCACCATGACACGGCCTATCACATCACTGAAAGAAAGGCTAGTAATATCTACACACACACACGGGTGCACACACATGCGTGCACATGGGTCCAGCTGCACCTCTGAGAATGCAAACGATGGAAGATTTAATTACATAAGAATCAATTCGAGAGCACATATTTGCCTCCAGATTTGTTTTCTTGGCTAAAACACAAAGCAGCCTCACACCCATCCCATGCTAATCATGCACAGAAAAGGAAAGAAACCGAATCCCAAAAGATGACTTGGAAAATGGAAGACTTTTTCCCCCAATTTATTGAGGTATGGCTGACAAATAAATATCTGCATATATCTATAGTGTACAGCATGACGCTTTGACATACATACACACTGTGAAATGATTACCAGTCAAGCTCATTAACATATATCACCTCACTTAGTTCTTTTTTTTGGGGGGGGGAGGGTAGTGAGAACATTTAAGATCTACTGTCTCAGGAAATTTCAAGTATCTAATACAGCATTATTAACTATAGTCACTATGTTGTACATTAAATCTCTAGAACTTATTATCCTGCTTAAATTAATTTTTTAAAGAATTATTTAACTTTATTTATTTATTTTAATTTTATCAGAGAGGAACAGAGTGAGAGAGAGAAAGTGAGAAAGCAAGCCACCAGGTCATAATGGTCACATCACCGGACTCCCACGTAGTCAAGTCCCGGACCCAGCAGCTTAAAACTCACACTGGGTGTGTGTGCGTGTGTGCCCAAAATCCTGAGAGGAGAATGGAGGAAAGGAATTGCGGAGTGGCCATCCCCCCCTAGGGATGATTTCTTACTTTCTGTCTCTATGTCTCTCTGGCAGCACACATGCCCTATAGCAAAAATCTCTCCGAAAAACAAACAAAAAGTACTCATAAACCTGAATATTCTACAAGCTAATCCCAGTATGAAGTCATATGAATACAGTGTGATACTTCAGGTTTACTAGAAAGAGCACAAAACTTGTGGTCAAAATATGAGGGAGGGTAAGAGGAAGGGAGCCAAGGAGAAAAAGAAAGACGCAAAACATTTAAGGGATACAAAAATGGGAAATTATCTGTTGATGATAACATGTATGATAATATCTTGAACTGGACTAATACATAGTTAATTCATGCTGGGAAATTCATTTTATGAGCTGTAATGACATACGGTGATTGAATGTATATTAAAAAAAATCTGTGCTCCATCTGCATCTTTTAACGGTTGACAATCTTGAGCAAATAATCACTTCAATATAGTTTTTTGTCACCTGTAAAACAAGCATAGAGTTACTGACTGCACAGAGTTGCAGCTAAAATAAATGATGGCCCAGCCACAGCAGCACAATGCTTTGAAACCCTGGAAGGCACACGGAAGATCAGGGTTGAGTTCTCTGTTGACTGTCCACGTTAGGTGCACAATGCCATGATCCTAGCTGGCTGGGAAATGCTATGGAGGGGTCGGCAAAGGTGGATTCACAGCTTAAGACCCTGTTGAGGGTACTCATCTTTCTCTCTCCCTCACTCTCTCAATAAATAAATAAACTTTTAAAAAGTCAAATGAGGGACCAGCAGATGGTGTAATAGTTACATCACTAGACTCCCAGCTGGTTGACTGCAGTTCAAGTCTCGGACCCAGCAGCTTAAAACTCACACCAGGCACATGTGCATGCATGCCCAAAATTCCAAGAGGAGAAATAGAGGAGAAGGAATTGCAATGTGGCCATCCCCCCTGGGGGGTGATTTCTCGCTTTCTATCTCTCTGTCTCTCTCTGTCTGTCTCTGTGTCTCTAGAGAGCACACACACCCTATAGCAAAAATATCTCTAAAAAAAATGAAATTATGGACTATATGTAATGCCTGATAAATGTAAAGCCCAATACGAATGTTCAGCACCATTATCACAACGACTGGTTAAAAAGGACGCCTGCATAAAAATGGGGACGGTATAATGGAAATTCATCCTATCTAAAAATATAACCAAGAAAAAGCACCTTAATAATTGAAACAACTGGATATTATCATTCCCAAAACATGAGATGGTACTCGACCTCACAGAACTCACAGCGACACCGGTGGAACCAGTCCCCTAGGTAATGGCTAGTATCTATATACGCCTGGCATATATTACAAGCGACAGGGCTGGGAAAGAAGACAGGTGTCCGAGAGACTAGATTAATGAAAGCTGATTAGTTTGTTCAATAAGAAATGGGGAAAATGTTTTAAGTATTTCAAATACAGCCCTTAGGACTCCAGATCCCCTAGAGCTGAGCCAAAAGAAATATGTTCAAATAAAGCTAAAAGGAAGACTGAGAAAATGAGTGAAAGATGGATAGGATTCAAAGGGAAGGGCCAAGCCAGCTCATTAGAAAGGTAGCATGATGTGAAGGAGGTAGCCCTAGACCAGAAGTCAGGAAACTGAGCTCTGGTCTGAAGTCTGCAACACAGTCTCTGTGAAACCCCGAGCAGGCCACAGCACTTACCTGGGCCTCAGTTTCTTTACCTATAATAAACAGGAGCTGTAGGGCCAATTAGCACAGCTAATCCATCATTTAGAAATAATTTATTAAGGGTTTATTGTTGTTGAGGCAGTGTTCTAGTCAACAGACTTAGGAGAAAACAAAAACAGATACAGTTACTGCTACTGCGCATTTGACATTCTCGCTGATCTCCATCCTCCCCGAAGAGATGGCACCCTGAAACTCTCACCTAACACGGAGAGGCCAGAGTGGGCAGTCAGGATGGCTCCTTGATCATGGAGGAGAAGGCTTCATTCTTCAGGAGCCGGGTTCTTTCTGAGAGCAGAAGCAGTGCCCTCACTCGCATTTGTCCCATTCCAGGTTCTGGGCATTGGAGCTTAATCCAGATCATGGAAGTCAGCTGATATTTATTCTTAAAGACCAGTTTAGACCCAAAAAAACCTTCCAGAAATAAAAGCATCTTTTGCTTTGTTTTTCAGTAAGATAATTGGATCCATTACAATGGAAAAAATATCTGATACTTCTTTTACCTAAAAAGCTTATCTAAAATGACTAATATTGACAGTAATACATAATCACTATATTAATTGTTCCTAATCTGTTTCCCATAATAGAAAAAAACACAATTTAGATATCTAATGCTAAATATCAATGATTTTTAATATAGACAAAAATTAACATTTCTTTTACCAAACATAAAGCCTTAGACCTAATTCTATAATACACTAAAATAATGTACCTCAGGACCAGCAGTTGGAGTAATGGCTATGTCGCTGGACTCCAGTGTAGTCGACCACAGTTTGAGTCCTGGACCCAGTGGCTTAAACTCACGCCGGGCCATGTGTGCATGCGTGCCCAAGATCCCAAGAGAATGGAGGAGAAGGGACAGCGGCACGGCCATCCACCCCCCCGGGGGGGTGGGGGGTCTTGCTTTCTGTTTCTCTGTCTCTTGCGCAAGTGCACGTGCCCTATACCAAAAAATCTCTCAAACAAAATTTTTAAAGCATTGCCAAAAGAGAAATAGTATTGGTTTTTATTCTATATTTCCTGTTTCTACTCATTGAATTGGTATCGAAGAAGGAAAAGCTGAAAGGAGTGAAACTCGATTTCCTTATAGATACCAGTCAAAAGTATCTTGAAAGAGTATCCTGACCACACCTTTCTCCCCACATCAGGGACTCTGGGATCTCCAAGCACACACGGTTTTCCAGGAGATTCTCTGACAAGTCTGCTTCACCTTAGGAATCCCCATGACCAACATAACAGAATGAAGAGAAGGATAGGCAGCCATGAGTGTCTCAGAGATAAAAACCCTGGGGAGATCAGCAGGAGCAGACTTAGAGGTGATGGAGAAGGGGCTAGCTATGACATAAACCATGTAAAGTATAAGGAAGCAGCTCAAGGACTTCAGGGCAGTGATGTGAGCCTTGGCCCGAGCATCCCTCCTACCAGCTGTATGGCCCTTCATCTTCCTGTGGTGTCCATACAGAGAGATAATCAGCATCCCAGAGGAAACAAGAAACACTATGCAAGGCAGCCAGCTTCCTGAATTAAACTTTAAAATATGAAAGTAATGCCTGTCAGAAAAGGAATAGAGAATGCTGTTATTTCCTTTGGAAAGATTACTGGGATTTAAGCCAATGTTGAATGCAAGTGACAAATTGACAATAACATATCCCAGAAGGCACCAGAGACTCAGACTATAGACCCTCTGCTTCAGCCACAAATAGGCAGGATGTTCAAAGGTCGTGATCTTGTTGCAATAAAAGACACTGAGGAAGGTGGCAAACCACAGACTTGCCTGGCTGACCAGAACCCAAGAGATATTGAGATAGAGAAGCCAACGGTTGCTCTGGAAAAATGGAAACAGACTTAAGTCCAACATGATCAGCCACTGCAAGAGAAACCGGCAGCCAGCCAGGCCCAAGACAATGAAGTTGTATGAAGACTCCTTAAACTTTCTGATCCATACTCCAAAACTCCACACCACAAGGATTCCATTTCCAACTAGACCAATGAGAAATTCAGTCACTGCTATGAGCATCAGCAGTCCTAGGACGGCATTCAACATGGCTGGCAAGGGGTCTCACAGCCTTCCCAGGAGGTATCCTGCCTCAATGCCAACAAACATGCACAGCTCCTGGCTGAGGTCAGATCCTCTGGTAGTGAAACTACACCCACAGTGGATCCTTACACCACAAAATCTGAATTTGGCTTTATCTTTCCAAAGCCTTCAGGCAGAGAATGAGTAGCTGTGACCAGGAACAGAGAGCTTAGACGTTCTGATCGCCTCTATATTTGCATCTATAAATGAGCCCTGAGTCTAGACTCAGAGGTTGGAAACAGCACCACAGACACAGATTCTCCATTTCAAAGGTCATGGTCTACATTCCAAACATCAGCATAGCAAGATCTCCCAATGGGAAAGACCAAATCTAAACATTCTCAAGTCCAACATAAATAAGGCCAGATATAAGCTCATACACCTACATTTTTTTCATAAGAAGAACACTGAACATGTTAGCATAAAAATTGAATAATCTCAGAAATTAAAAGTATATTTTACTATCCAAGGGAGAACAGGGGAAGTTTGGGAGAAGAAAACAATCAGAAAGACAAAATGTAATTAAGTATCAAACAATTAAAAAAAAAAAAAAGGGTCAGGTAGGGGAGTCATTACTGTTGACCAGGGTCTTCGAAGCCATCTGCCCTTTATGGCCAATTATCCACCAACACTTGCTTTAGCATGTTTCTCATATTAAGGTTTTGGATGAAGGAGATGAGTTCAAAGTGAAAAAAGACTAGTACAAAAATCAAGAAATTTAGAAAACAGCTTCAATTATTGTCCATCAAATTCCAACTTCCCTGAGAGCATCCCAATACAAATTATGTTTGCAGTAGGCTGAATTCTAAGACAGTCACCAAGATTCCCTCCCTCTTGTATACACACCCTGAATAATCCTGGGGTGTGAATGGGACTGTGAATAAGATGGATATTAGTAAGGACTTTTCCAGATGTAATTAAGGTCCCAAATCAGTCCATTTTGAGCTAATCAAAAGCAATGTTAGCTTGAGTAGACCCGTCTTAAACAACTGAAAGCTTTGAAATAGGTATTGGGCCTTTCCTGAAAAGAGAAATCTTCATAGTGGGGTGGTCTCTAGATGCTAAGTGTAGCCCCTGGCTGACAGCCAGCAAGAGAGAGACCTTAGTCCTACAACCACAAGGAATTGTCAATAACCATGTAAGCTTGATAGAGAACCTCAAATTTCAAAAAGGATTGAGGCCCAGTCAACATCTTGATTATAGCTTGTGACACACTGAACAGAGGGCCCACTTTAGCTGCACTTGAACTCTTGATCCACAGAAACTATAAAATAAATGTTATGTCATTTTAATCTGCTAAATTTGTGTTGCTGCATAGCAAATAGGAAATTAACACAGTGTTTGAAGCAGGCTAGAAATGACTATGAGGAAATGTAGAGAAAGAGCAATTAGATTAGAAAGGAGGAGGAGGCCAGGCTAGTCCCTTAGGAAGGCAGCATGGGTATAGAGGGAAGAGTGCTGGACCAGGAGCCAGGAGCCCTGCAGAAAGACCTCAGCACTGCCTCGGGTCTCTGCGAAGCTGTGGACAGGCTGCTTTCTCTCTTGGGGCCTCAGTTACTCTACAGTCCCATAAAGAGGCTGTAAAAGGAATCTCAGTTTCGATTCCTTCAGATAAGATTTACAGTGCTTACTGTGTGCCAAGCTACAGTACCCCAGGCATGGGGATCAGAGCAATGAACAATACAGTCTCTGCTTACAGGGAGCATTCCACATTATCTCTACCTAGCTCCAGGACTTGGTGCCTTAAAACTCTGGCTACAGGCTGTAGCGAGGTCATGATCTTCTATTGTTCAGAAACCTGGATGAGGCTTGAACCTGTCCAAAAGCAGAGTTTCTCTGACAACTTTTTCATAGAAATATGAGTGGTTCCATCTTCTTACAGTGGAACTTTCTATAAAACATGGTAGCCATGTTTCCAAAAAGCCTAGTGTGGACGCAAAACAAAAAAAGTCACCAAAAAAGATAAAGGTGGATTTCTGAGAGTACTTTACTATAAATGTTAAGAGAGGATAAACCGGGACCAGAAGTTGGCATAATGGCTATGTCACTGGACTCCCATGTAGTTGACCACAGTTCGAGTCCCAGTCTTGGGGTGACTTAAATTCATGCCAGGCACATGTGCATGTGTGCCCAAGATCCCGAGAGGAGAATGGAGGAGAAGGGATTGCAGCATGGCCATCCCCCCTGGGAGGTGATTTCTCGCTTTCTATCTCTCTGTCTTTCCGGCAAGTGCATGCACCCTATAGCAAAAATCTCTCTCAAAAAAAAGATGATAAACGAGACCAGCCAGCAGATGGTATAGTGGCTCTGTTGCTGGGCTCCGACATGGCCAACCATAATTGAGTCTCAGACCTGGTGGCTCGAAAATCACACTGGGCAAGTGTGCATGCATGTCCAAGATCTCAGAAAGAGAATACGGAAGGGATTGCAGTATGGCCATCCACCCTGGTGGTGGGGGGCGGGGGGGGAGTGATTTCTCACTTTCTCTCATGCTCTCTCTCCCCCTCTACCCTACCCCCACCCCGTAAGTACACGCACCCTGAGGCAAAAAATCTCTGAGGAAAAAAAATGAAAAGAAAAGAAAAATAACAGAGGTACAGGGTGCTGCTGTTTCCTGTTAATAGTTTTTAAAGATTCAAGTGAACAAGAACTAAGAAATGCAATGTGATCTTAAAAGATGCTAGAAGAAACCAAAACCCAGGCTTCAGGCCTTCCTCTTTGGCTTCAAGAAGTCATGTTCTTGGAACCAGCAGTTAGCGCAATGACTATGTCGCTGGACTCCCACGTGGTCGACCGCAGTTCACGTCCCAGACCCGGTGGCTTAAAACTCAACGCCAGGCGTGTGTGCGTGCATGCCCAAGATCCCAAGAGGAGAATGGAGGATGAGGGATTGCAGTGTGACAATCACCCCGGGGGGGGATTTCTCACTTTCTGTCTCTATGTCTCTCTCTCTGTCTGTCTGGCGAGCACACACGCCCTATAGCGAAAACCTCTCAAAAAAAAAAGTCATGTTCTTCACACAGAAGAACCACAGGCTGACCTGGCTGACTGGGCCCCAGAGGACTCTGAGATAGTAAAGCCAACCACTGCTCTGGAAAAGTGGAGATAGGCTTTCATAGAAAACCGAGGTCACTGTGATCAGCCTAAGTAGGAGAAAGTGGCCAATTCCCAGGCCCAGGGCAATGAGGAGTTACAAGGACCGCTTTATATTTTGTGACTCATTCTCTAAAATTCCAGATCATAGAGACTCCATTTCTAAGTAAGCCAATGAGAAATGCAGCCACTGCTACCAGCATCAGCAGTCCTAGGGCAGCGGACAGCATGGCTAGCAAGGGGGTCTCCCACTGCCTTCCCAGAAGGGGCCTGCCTTAGTCAGTGCTGTTGATACACATGGCTCCAGGATCTATTAGTAGAATTAGGGCAGAAAGTTTCACTTCTTTTTTTTAATAGACCATAGATTAGTTTATTTTTAACATCCATCATGCCATGAATTCATAGGGAATAGGTTTCAGTAGCTCAGGCTCCTTTCCATTGGTTCTCAGAGGTGTGCTTCTCTGGGAGGAGCAGACAGGTGCTACAATTGAACCCAGGTCCCTTACTCTTTGGCTTCCTTCTTTTTCTGGTCATTTTCCTTCACACGTTTTAAGAAGCTATCTCTGCTCTTAGGATGCTTAATATGCTCAATATGCACATTAATTCCCTTGGCAAGAATCTTGCCCTCAACTTATTTGTTTACAACAATGCCAACAGCATGCTGGGCAACACTGTAGACTCTCCCAGTTTTGCCATGGTGACATCTGTGGGGTATTCCTTTTTAAACAGTACCCATTCCCTCAATGTCTCTACAATATCACCTTTCTTATAGATTTACATATATGTTGCCAAAGGAACCAATCCATGTTTTCTAGAACACCTAAACCTCGTTCCCTTTGTGTTCTTCATTTTAGTTAATTACTGGAAGATGGTGGTTCCAGTCAAAAATAGAGGGCAGAAAGTTTCACTTCTCAGAACTCAGAGTATGTCACTGTCCTTTTGAAATCCTTTTCCTGGCAAAGACATTATTGCTGGAAAAAGAAGAAATGTTCTTGAGTTTAACAGAGCTACCTACATAAAGCAGGCCTGGAATCCAAGATTAGCTACAGAACCACAGTGACAGGCTGTCCTTCCAAAGAAAGGAAAGAAAACCCAGGGACCTGGAGCATCAACTACTCAAGCCCTACTTCCACCCTACCAAACCACAAAACCTGAATGAGACTTTCTGAGAATCTAAACACTGGCGAGTGCAAGGCACCTTAAAAAAGGAAAGTATGCATTTACCAATTATTTGACAAATACTCATTCAATGGCTACCATGTTCCAGTCCCTGTTCTAGATTCCTGGGATATGAGAGGGATGCAAAGTCCTTCCTAACTTGGAGCTTACATTCTGGTGCGGAGGTATGTAATTGTTTCGACATGTTTGTAACTTGAATATGTAATCCTGAAAGCTGTTTTTATATATCTATGGCCACTTCCTTTCCACACAGAACTGTTCGGCAACTCGCCCCAAACTGAGAGCTGAGAGGAAGAAGTCTGTAGAGGGTAAATGCCAAGGTGCTTTCTAGCTCACCAGAGGAACTGTCTGCTTCTTACCTTTGACACAACCAAAATGTGTCAGCCATTGCACCAGGGACTTCAAAAAGTTCATGAACTAATGGAATTAAAGTACACATTTATTTTGGCGCAAAACAAAATATGGAATCTAGGCATGTTTTTTTCATAATACCCATCTTCTATGAACTCTCAGAAGAGCCCCCAGTACTATCACTCCTGTTTCTACCAGAGTCCTCCCTCGTCACATGTCTACACTCTGCTGCTCTGAATCCTCAGCTATTTTCACAGTACCTGAACCAGGAAAAGAAAGCCAATGGGAGATCAGGTGGAATACAAATGTCAGCAGAGATCCTCAGAGGGGCAAATTACGGCTTC